TAGTCACTGGACTTATTAAGGGTATCATTTCATAGACTGTGCAGATAGATGCCTGACCACTGCAGCATACACCTGAAGCTGAAGTAAAATAATATTAAATGTCAACTGTAAATATATATATATATATATATATGGACACTATTTTTTTCCTAATAAAGTATTCCAGAAGTAATAGACTCCTAACAATGTATTCCAGAAGTACAGCACAGGGAATAGAGTCAATAGCATTGTAACAGCTATATACGATGTCAGAGGGGTAGTAGACTGGGGGGGGTATCACTTTGTGAGGGGTGTAAATGTCTAATTATTATGTTGTTTTATACACCTGAAACTAATAAAAATAATTTTTAAAATAGGGATGAGAGCACATTTATTTACCAGAAGAAAAACATACTTATCATATTTAATAACATATTTATTTTATTTAACCTGAAAACAACCTTTAAAATTGAATGCGATTATTTAAATTTATATTAAGTAACTGATGTGTAGAGCATGTAGGTTTGCTCATCAGATTATGAACATGCTGAACCCTATGGAGCTTTTTATGAACTTGAGGAAAATCTTCAGATGGCTTCTGGTTATCCATCAATTTATCCTCTGCTCATCATCAAGAGCCAATTACCAGGACACAAAGATCTAACCAGAGGCTAGCAATACTTTACATAAAAAAAGAAACCAAACAGTAAACAAATATGTAAAATTTCAGTGAATGAATAAATAATATGGGGAACAGTAAAGAGGGATAGAGACTTCTTGGAAGATGTGGGGGAAGATCTTTTACCAAGATCTCTTGCTAAGGAATTCAACTTTGAGCTGTGATCAAAAGGACATAAGAGAGTGAGCCGTGTGAATATAGGGAAGGAATTGATCATTTCTATATCCTGAAGCACTTTCTTCACTTTCACTTCATGGAAAACCATGCTTTTCTGGTCCAACTCTCACCACTCATTCATTCTTAGTACTTTTAGATCCTTCTCACTCCCTGACCAACTAATTGGCTCAGCATAGAGAAGAATTTAGGTTTTAACTATGGTATGTTTTGGTGATTGTTTCACTCGTGAAATGTCAAAATTGAGTCAAATTGAGTCAATATGGTCAAATTCTTAGAAATCATATCAATTTTTGAAATGGATGTTCTATATTTCACATGTAAGAAATACTATATTTATAGCTTCTCTCTCTCTCTCTCTCTCTCTCTCTCTCTCTCTCTCTTTCTTTCTCTCTTAAATTTCCCTGAGAAAAGCCTGGAAAGAGTACACCTAAGCATTAAGATACTTAGATAAAATACTATTTTTTTTAAAAAGAGGAAAATATTATCTTGCTTACTTGTTTGGGAATTACTTTTTTAAGAGTGTAATGCCTATAGCTATTGGAATTTGTATTCTGCTCTTAGACTGCCTGGAATATTGTTACTTACATATTCTAATTGTCTCTGCTCCTTAATTTGCATGAGGTCCGCATTTTGGAATTGTTTTCTCTCAACCACAGAGATGAGAAATAGCCCATAAAGCTGAGTGGTCTGGTTTTGCCTCTGCCACTATTTTACCCTTTAGATTTGAGGCACATGCCACTCTTCTGGGGATTCAGGTTCCTCATCTCTAAAATACAGAAGCTGGATCACGATCTCCAATATTCCCTGAAACAGCCAATAAATGTGAGTCCAGTGCTTTTGCATTTCCTGATTGAGATGAACACATACTGCGAGGCTGCTTCACATCAACACTGGGATATTTATATTTGTACAAATAATACTTCATGTCTCCCCAAACAGGTGTTCATGCAAAACCTTACAACTAGTTGGCCCCAAGGTACTGTGGGTGATAAAGGAAAAGAAAAAAAATGAAAATGTTTGTGCCATGCTAGAAAACAAAGTGTGAACGCTCATAAGTTGTGCCATAACGTTTCCTAAAATCCAGTGCAAGTAAGATGAAGTTAATTGGTACTTTTACTGGATGAATTTGAAAACACTCAAGGTGGATCAAGAGGCCTTTTACAAATCCTTCTCAGTGAACAACGGAAAATGTTACAAGATAATTAAAATCAAGGGAATAAGCGGTGTTAAATTGACTATTTAGTGTTTGTTTTTTCTTTAGGTTATTCATACCATCAGTGCCACTGACAAAGATGATTTTGCCAATGGACCAAGGTTTAACTTCTTTCTTGATGAACACCTGTCTATAAATCCAAACTTCACCCTGAAGGACAATGAAGGTGAACATGAATACATACATTTCTGATCTATATGATATCAGCTTTGACTTGATACGGGATAGGCCTGAGCTGTTTTACTATAGTCTTATATGCCCACGAACAGCTTGCAAATCAGCATTCAAAGTCAATTTAATGTTAATGTGTTATGATCTGTGAAGAGCTTGTATTTAAAATTGAGCCATATGTACAAATAACTTTCATTGAATTTATTCAGAAGCATCCCTTTAAACAAGAAATGTACATGGCATGTGCTCTTGGGCAAATTTTGAGAGAAATTTTAGCTGACAAACATGTTTACGAGAGCTGCTGAAACTGCCAGGGGTAGAAAAAATTTAAATTAGGAAAAATGAAAAATATGTCCTAGGGACAGTTAGGAAAGGAAATGCAGCGTTTGAAATCATCTTGCATTAGCAAGGCTTCCAAGATGTGCTGTGCAGAGTATATGTCCTCTTGTTGTTATGAATATATTTGAAAATATGAGTAGATAAATATGAATAATTGCAGGGTATTGTTGAAATTTTTAAATTATTTTTAATGGCCTTATTTGTGTGGGGGGAAAAAATAACACCATAATTTACTAACCAGAGAAGATTCATCATGATTTAGATTCCATATTTGGTAGATACCTCAAGGTTGTGTGAAAGTCACACTTCTGTACAGAAGAAAAACATTAATTCATTCAATGTATACAGCATTCTGATTAGCATCGACTTCCTTCTTACTCTAATTGTCTTTGACCATGTTTATCTGAATATGATGTTATTTGGGATTTAACACTTGCCTCAGAAACACATGAAAGAAGCCATGGCATATCCATTTTGGAGTCATCATTTAATTCTCTTCTGTACCCTGCATGGGAGAGCATTTTTAAACATGAGGTAAAATAATATCACTAAAGGATAATCCACTAAAACATTTTTCCCATTATCCCTAAGTGTCTTCAAATTATCATGCCAAGGATTCCAAATTGTGTATGTTTCCATAACAAGGTTTATATGAAAATATAAAGCTTGTGTGTTTCTCTCATTTTAACTAGTACTGTGGTCACCTTTACTTATGCTAATGCGTATTTGTGTATATTTGTGGATGACACATTGTATTTAATTGACTATCATGCATATATTTACATTTGAAATCCCATCCTATAATCCCAAATACATGTAATGTAATTAACTACACTATGTAAAAACAATCAATACATGTGTCTCCATATTTCAAATAATTGCATGATTTGGGGAACATTCTACTTTCTGTCTTAGATTCATATCATGTCTAGATACCCGTAATTATATTTCAGCTGGAACTGTTGTTGAAACCCACATTAGTGACTAAAAGTCTTTCATGCAAGATTATTATATCTGGAATTTGTGAATTTAATTAGTGAATATATTCAAAAGGTCTTAATACAGTGATTTGACAACATCATCAGTGCTGGGAATTCACATTTAAGTAATTCACCCTAAAAATATATATATATATATATATAATTTTACAACAGTTTATAATGCTGATATGTGTTAATATGTATTTTAACGATATATGTGAATGCTTAAATCAGCTATACCATTTGACGTATAAGAGAACTGTGGAAAGTCATATAGCTATAAAGATGTTTAAATTTATTTGTAGGACTATTTTTTTAGACATTTTGAAAATTGATGAAATTATAAACGACAGAAATAATTTATTTTAGGTAGAAAATATAGCAGTTTTCTGGAAAAAAGTTACTAGTGCATAGTTGAAAATGTTTACCTGAGCAAACAGACTTGGTTATACTAGATAAAACAAGCCACTAACCTCTCTGAGCCTTAGATTTTACATCCATAAGTTGAGGTTAAAAGGATCCACTTTGTAGCTTTGGGATAATTAATAATACTGGACGGAATGATATTAGAGTCAAGGTGGCTCCTTCTCCAAACACAAGGCAGTTATGGATCATAATATATAAAGATACAATTTTTATATTTACATAATATATAAATTTACATAATATATAAAGATAGATACGTACACACATGCATACATGTATTGTACATGAACACTTCTCTAAGCAAAAACTACAACAAGCCCACAAAGGAATAACACTCAGCAAACCCAGGCCTGCCGGATGCGGGTAGCTTGGGCATTGCATTGTATGAATTAGTAAACATTTACATGCATCAGGAACATAAAGAAAGACATCTAGAAGAAAAAATTAAAACCATTTTTCTGTGCCCACTGCTTACACAAAAGTGCATATTCAGGGAAATAGAAACAGACATCGGACAGAGCCTCCAAGCCAGGAGGAGTGATCGGGAAGCAACTGGTGCAGTGGCACCTCCAAAACTGATGTATGGTAAAAGGGGGAAAGGAAAAGATCTTTCCAAAATAAGAGAGAGAGAAAAATGCATATTGTTGTTTATTATAAGCCTGGAACTCAAAAATTGAATAGTCAATAAGATAGGAAATAAAACAGAAAATGAATGTACTCTGAATAATACAAAATATGTAAACAATCAAAAAATGCTTTAATATAAGTATTTAATATATTTCTCAAAATTAAAAAAACTTAACAAGAATAAGAAGTGATTACATGAAATGAGACAATGGGAAAACAACTTTGTGTGAAATAGTTTAAAAATCTTTATAAAAATAAAACTAGTTTTTTCATATGTAGAAAAGTGTAGAACTATATGAGAAATATGTAGTAATTTCATTTGACATGCATAAGGATATAAAACATATATCCAGAAATTAAAATGTAAAATATGATTATATATAATTATGTATATGTATATATAGATATATCTGTGTATGAATATATAATGTATGTGTACAAATTATATATATATATATATATATATATAAAATTATAGTTATTAAATAGAAAAGCATATAGGACTATACAGAGAAATATATAGAAGTACAGTTATATATGTAGAACTATGTAGATATGTGTCCATACATTTAAAATTTAATTATCCATTATGTATATATAAACATATAATGCATTTACATGTATATGTATGCAGACACATACACATAGATACAGAGAGATGACAATAAAAATTATTAGACAGTCTACCTCTAGACTGGACAAAATAAAAAGAGATTTAACAAGTCAAATGTAAAATCCATTAATTGATATGTCAGGTTAACACTACCAATGTCAAAGATAAAGAGAAAAAAAAAGCTATCAAAAAGAAAGAAAAGGCAAAATAGTTAAAACAAAAACAAAAACCCTGATAATTAGATTTAAAGTAGATTCCTGGCCAAAAACAATGATGACAGTTGATAAAAATCATATGCTCAAAATGTTGCAAGAAAATAATTTCTAATTGTCAACCTTCTCTATATTTAGTTAAAAATGTTAAACTGTTAGGTATTAATATGACAGTTATTAAAGTTTTTTTTCCAATGTATAGGAAGAAACTTTTTATTTTTAGCTATTGGCATTTGGGCAAATAGTCTATTAATGTTTGTCTTCAGGGCTTCTGAAAAAAAATAGGCAATAAAAATAACATAATTAATATTTCATTTGTTAAAACTTGAACAGTTAAAACGCAATTAATATAATATGAATCTACAATTTTCAAAGCAAAGAAGATTTTTCAAAAGTTTAATAATTAAGCTTATTTTATCAATAGAAAACAAGGTCAGAAAGCAGAATAAAAAAATGAAAATTAGAAGCATACAAAATGAAAAAAAATGTAGAAATTTGTTCAAAAATCCATCAGAGTAAATACCCTTCTTAAAGGTATCTCATTATATTTTAAAAATATATCATTTTACCACATGCGTGAATCAGGATGCTCAATTGTTCATATTATTCAGTAACTCAAACATAATTTTAATAATAAGCTGAATTTAATAATCCCTTAATAAAATGACAATGATAAAGGATTGAGAAAGCAAGAATGTTTTGAAAATAATGAAGGAGGCGTATAGTTAGAAGAAAGAGAAGAAAAGAGGCATATCCTAACAGATATCAAGACATTTTGAAGATGACTGTAGTGAGAGACCTGACAGGTTTTTTGTTTGTTTTGTGAAGCTTTGATTGCTGAGCACCCACCTCCATGATGACTGTCTGGAATAAACCATTGCCAGCCAAAGGACTGGATAAACATCCAGGCCTCCTCCCCCTCACCCCACCTTTGTTTTAGAGATCTGGGTTAATTTTGATAACTGACCATGTGAGCTGCCTTTTAAAACTCTTCCCATACTTTAAATTCCCTCTCTTAGCATTTTAAATGCACCAATAAAGGGGGAACTCACAAAACCCTAGTTCCCCCAATAGAAGCAGAGCCCCCGGCCCTTGTGTGCCCTACCTGTCTCTACCCAGGACCTTGCTGTGTGGCCCCGGGTGTGACATGTACTTTCTAGGACATGTAAGTGATAAAACTTGGTTTCCAAGTTTCCTGATAGCTATCGCTGGGGGCATATTGCAATCAGAATCAGAACCATGAGGGCCAGTCTAGCCCCAGCATCTGTTATTGACAGTCTGAGGTGGACATGGACACACAACAGTGCAGTGCTCCTTAAATATGAAAGTAGTGCAGGTCCAGATAAATAGGTGAGGAGAACAAATGGAGAGGGCTAAAATAACTTGATTGGATATCTAAATCTATATATATAAATATAGGTACTGGACAGAAGGCAAAGGTAGAATTAACCCTTGTGAAAAGGGTAACCCAAAAATACCCTTTGAAAGAGCTCAACTGGCTATAAATCTAGAGAAGATAAAATTAGAACCCCTCATACACGTCCACACAGATAAAGTACACATCGATTAAATAACTACTTGCAAAATTTTAAAGAAATTTAGAGCAAAATGTAGTGGACTAATTTTATGTGATTGAGGTGGGAGAGAATTTCTTATCAAAAACACAAATACCACATGCATAATATATTGACAAATGTGATAATGTTAAAATGATGTTATTTCTGCATCAAATGACTTCCAAACAAAATGTGAAAACAAGTCATAACCTGGGATAAGATATAGACATCCATATCTTATT